TCCACTTATCATTCGCCTTCACATGAATTCATAATCACAATTACATTCACATTCACGTTCACATTCACATTCACACACTCACACATATTTACACACACACAAAGACACACTCACACTTTTGGGCACATTTGCTTTCACACACAGATTCCGAATCGAATTTTAATATATTTACTCATATACATGACATATACATTTTTTGATGAACTATCATCAGAAAATAATGATACATTTTTTATTGTCTTGCAATTAATTTTTTATTCGCATTCTGAATAAGTACAGTTAAACTTAGTGTACGAAGACTGAGGTTAAGCACCATAAATGTTTAAGAATCAGCATAGAAAAGAACCGGGAACGGCGTGGCCTAGCGGTAGTGCTATAGGCTGCTAACCTAAAAGTGACGAATTCGAATCCGGGTTTAAGGAAGTAGAACGTGTCTGATTCCAGCAAGCTCTAATGGGTACCTAACACATGTTAGGGAAACAAAGACTGCTGGGCATAGTGACTAAACACAACTCCCAGTATACCGAGGTTATTGAAACAAAAAAACTCTACTTCATCTGCCCCAACAACCATCTAACAGAGTAATCAATGCCAAAAAATACACATAGTAACGCTTTGTTTATTTAGTAAAACAAGCAGTTACCCTAATTTAAAAAAAAAATTCTAAACATCATATATGCTTATTCTATTGTATGTTTTGAAAAACCAATTGTCTGTTTAATATATTCCCTTTGAAGACCCAAGAGAATTACATCAAACCAAATCATTATAAAGAAATAAATCAATACTGTATACGTTTGCTTTGTTAGTATTTAACCGTGTGGTATATAGATATACTTCTTTGGAATGGAATCCCCTGGGAAAAAGGAGGGTGGGCCGGCCAAGGAAGACATGGAGAAGAACGGTTGAAGAAGAGGCGAAAACAGCTGGGTACACATAGGCACAGATAAAGGGGGCGGCCCAAAAACGAGTCTGATGGAGATGTGTGGTTGCAGCCCTTTGCTCCCCAGGGGCCACAAAGGAATGATGATGATATAGATATACATTCAGCATTTTCAATAAGGTACCCACGGGCGTTTGAGTTGCATGGGTTAGACACTAGGTGTTGGACCTATGCACACTTTTTAATGTTATGTATAATAGTTGACACTGTATAACGCATGGTGTACGTATTAAGTCACATGATGTATAAGATTTATTAAACTTTTTTGTCATTTTTTGTACATCGCGTAGACCGTTATGAAGGTATATGTGACATAATGCTTGACATAATCCAGAAAGTACGTGTGTGTGTGTGTGTATGTGTGCTTGAGCAACTATTACAGCACCATTCCTATGGGCCCACCGAGATTATTTCTTGGGCCCCACCAAGTATTTTACTCGCTATTTCGTACACTGTCATTTACGGGTACCACATTTCTCTCACCCATGTTACCAGCTAGACCCGTGGGTTACCACATTTCTCTCACTCATGTTAACTTGGGTTACCACATTTCTCTCACCCATGTTACCAGCTAGACCCGTGGGTTACCACATTTCTCTCACCCATGTTACCAGCTAGACCCGTGGGGTACCACATTTCTCTCACCCATGTTACCAGCTAGACCCGTGGGGTACCACATTTCTCACACCCATGTTAGACCCGTGGATTACCACATTTCTCTCACCCATGTTACCAGCTAGACCCGTGGGTTACCACATTTCTCTCACCCAAGTTACCAGCTAGACCCGTGGGTTACCACATTTCTCTCACTCATGTTACCAGCTAGACCCGTGGGTTACCACATTTCTCTCACCCATGTTACCAGCTAGACCCGTGGATTACCACATTTCTCTCACCCATGTTACCAACTAGACCCGTGGGTTACCACATTTCTCTCACCTATGTTACCAGCTAGACCCGTGGGGTACCACATTTCTCTCACCCATGTTACCAGACCCGTGGGTTACCACATTTCTCTCACCCATGTTACCAGCTAGACCCGTTGGGTACCACATTTCTCTCACCCATGTTACCAGCTAGACCCGTGGGGTACCACATTTCTCACACCCATGTTAGACCCGTGGATTACCACATTTCTCTCACCCATGTTACCAGCTAGACCCGTGGGGTACCACATTTCTCACACCCATGTTAGACCCGTGGATTACCACATTTCTCTCACCCATGTTACCAGCTAGACCCGTGGGTTACCACATTTCTTTCACCCGTGTTACCAGCTAGACTCGTGGGTTACCACATTTCTCTCACCCATGTTACCAGCTAGACTCGTGGGTTACCACATTTCTCTCACTCATGTTACCAGCTAGACCCGTGGGTTACCACATTTCTCTCACCCATGTTAGACCCGTGGGTTACCACATTTCTCTCACCTATGTTACCAGCTAGACCCGTGGGGTACCACATTTCTCTCACCCATGTTACCAGCTAGACCCGTGGGTTACCACATTTCTCTCACTCATGTTACCAGCTAGACCCGTGGGTTACCACATTCCTCTCACCCATGTTACCAGCTAGACCCGTGGGTTACCACATTTCTCTCACCCATGTTACCAACTAGACCCGTGGGTTACCACATTTCTCTCACCTATGTTACCAGCTAGACCCGTGGGGTACCACATTTCTCTCACCCATGTTACCAGACCCGTGGGTTACCACATTTCTCTCACCCATATTACCAGCTAGACCCGTGGGGTACCACATTTCTCTCACCCATGTTACCAGCTAGACCCGTGGGGTACCACATTTCTCACACCCATGTTAGACCCGTGGATTACCACATTTCTCTCACCCATGTTACCAGATAGACCCGTGGGTTACCACATTTCTCTCACCCATGTTAGACCCGTGGGTTACCACATTTCTCTCACCTATGTTACCAGCTAGACCCGTGGGGTACCACATTTCTCTCACCCATGTTACCAGCTAGACTCGTGGGTTACCACATTTCTCTCACCCATGTTACCAGCTAGACTCGTGGGTTACCACATTTCTCTCACTCATGTTACCAGCTAGACCCGTGGGTTACCACATTTCTCTCACCCATTTTACCAGCTAGACCCCGTGGGTTACCACATTTCTCTCACCCATGTTACCAGCTAGACCCCGTGGGTTACCACATTTCTCTCACCCATGTTACCAGCTAGACCCGTGGGGTACCACATTTCTCTCACTCATGTTACCAGCTAGACCCGTGGGTTGCCACATTTCTCTCACCCATGTTACCAGCTAGACCCGTGGGTTACCACATTTCTCTCACCCATGTTACCAGACCCGTGGGTTACCACATTTCTCTCACCCATGTTACCAGACCCGTGGGTTACCACATTTCTCTCACCCATGTTACCAGACCCGTGGGTTACCACATTTCTCTCACCCATGTTACCAGCTAGACTCGTGGGTTACCACATTTCTCTCACCCATGTTACCAGACCCGTGGGTTGCCACATTTCTCTCACCCATGTTACCAGCTAGACCCGTGGGTTACCATATTTCTCTCACCCATGTTAGACCCGTGGGTTACCACATTTCTCTCACCTATGTTACCAGCTAGACCTGTGGGTTACCACATTTCTCTCACCCATGTTACCAGCTAGACCCGTGGGTTACCACATTTCTCTCACCCATGTTACCAGCTAGACCCGTGGGTTACCACATTTCTCTCACCCATGTTACCAGCTAGACCCGTGGGGTACCACATTTCTCTCACCCATGTTACCAGCTAGACCTGTGGGTTACCACATTTCTCTCACCCATGTTACCAGCTAGACCCGTGGGGTACCACATTTCTCTCACCCATGTTACCAGCTAGACCCGTGGGGTACCACATTTCTCTCACCCATGTTACCAGCTAGATCCGTGGGTTACCACATTTCTCTCACCCATGTTACAGGCCCCTATACCCTTGGGTTTCCATCAGGGCTCTTGCTCCCTCCCCAGGTACATAGCACCACCTGGTTTGATTGGATCGGTTAGGGGAGACAAAATGTCTCTAGCCGTGTTTCGAACTTCTGACATTAAGGTTAGTAAACCAGCACTAATGCAACGTAAAGTAAGTCTATAAGTGTGTATTAGAATAACAAAATAAATCTACTTTAATGAAAGCCATGAACGATCCTTGATTTCTCCATTTGTGGCTATTTCAACTGTAGCTCCCCTGGGGGTTGGCCGCCCCGCCCCCACATTTTTTTTTTGATAATCATTTTATTCGGCCTCGGTAATTCCCAAATAATTTTAAGAATTTTCATTTTTTTCTACGTTAATCATTGTGTTTTAACTTGCATTTCGTATTTGAAAATACAATTGTAGGTTAATTTATTTTAAAAAAATGACAACAGTAAACATACGGTAATCTTTATAAGTTCTCAAATAGTTCGCTATCCAAACCTGACGATCTATGGGGCAAGTGCAGTAGAGTTCACCTGTTTCTGTGAACTCGGAATATGAAGGGATAGCAGTGGCGTAGCCAGGATCGTCTCAAGGGGGGGGGGGTTCCAATTTTTACCCGGGGACAAACTTTCGATTTGCACCGACCCCCCCCCCCCCCCCTCAGACTTTTGATTTGCACCCCACCCCCCTCAAACATTCGATTTGCACCCCCCCTCATATATATACCGAGGGGTCTATGGGGGGGGGGTTATGACCCCCCTAACTCCCCCCCCTGCCTACGCCACTGAGGGATAGTGTGTCTAGCATTACGCCCAGCCGGTTTTACTTTCCCAAACGTGAGTTAGGTACCCATTACCGCTATATGGACTCAGTGACGATCTACTGACTTTAATTCGAACTCGAGACTTACAGGTCAGCATCCAGCACTCTACCGCTTAGCCAATGTCAAATTCTCAAATACTTTTAGTGTAATGTATTCTACTGTAATATTTAAAAAAAAAAACATAGTGCCTATATTCACCAATTTAAATATAACCTTTGTGTCGATTAAATATATATTGTTATAGCAATAAACATAACATAACGTGTAAAGCAAAGCTTTATAACTCACCATCAAATTCCTTTTGGTTAAGGCCGAGTTCTTTGGCCTTCTTTAAATATTTTTTGTTCTTCTCCATTAATTTCTTCACAGTGTTTGAACTCATTGCTCCGTTGACGAATGTCCCGTCCCGTACGGGGATATGCAAGGTCTACGTGGGTGGTCTTAGCCACAGTTCAACGCAATCGATCGTTGTTTTGTTGTTTTTTTTGGCGTGCGAGTGGTGTTGTGTTTTCCGGAAGTGTTTGTTGAGGTGTCTAGGGGCAAGTGTCTTGTTGGATGTGTCTTATTGCAAGTGTCTTGTTAATTTGTCTTTGGGCAAGTGTCTTGTTGGATGTGTCTTATTGCAAGTGTCTTGTTTATTTGTCTTGGGGCAAGTGTCTTGTTTGATGTGTCTTTGGGCAAGTGTCTTGTTTGATGTATCTTGAGGAAAGTGTCTTGTTTGATGTGTCTTGGAGAGTTTTCTTCAATGTGTTGATGGGCAAATCTCGTAACAGAAGTGTGACTTTGGTAAACTAACTAATGAAAAGTCCTTTGAAGCAAGTGCTTTCGTTGTTGTTTTTTGTCAAAGGCGCTTAAGTAGATACCTTCAGATATAATCTTACTTATGTGTCTTGTAAAAAATGTATTGTCTGGATTTGTTTAAATAAATTTCGTTGTGTACTAGTCTTTGAAGATAGTGTTTTCTTTGACAAACGTCTTGATAATGGAATTTCGCAGCGTGTGTCTTTGTGTTGCTGTTGTTGTTTTTGGCGCAGGTTTCACACACTGTAACTGACGTGGATACGAGTCTCTGCTCTGATGTCCTTCCTAAAGACCCGATGCGAAACAGCAAAGGCCGAGATATGCTACCTTGTCGCCTGAGAAATAAAACAAGACACATCTGAAAACTTGGGTTAAGGTCAGGGTTAGGCATTAGGGTTAGGCATAGGGTTAGGCATTATGATTAAGGTTTGAAGATTTGGGGTTATGGTTAGTGATAAGGTTAACAGATCTTTAAAAAAAACATTTCTAAATAACAGTACATATTTTTCTGCGGAGAGGGGGGGGGGGGGGCGGACACTGGTAAAATATACTTTCGATAAAAAATACATTTCGTTGGGGGGTGGGGTAGACTTTCTCTGTCCCCGAGGAGACGCCTGGAAGAAACTCTGCTTGCCTTTCAGGTATTATTTTTTTTAATTTATGGGGGGGGGGGGTGGCTTGAAACATTAGCGTGGTGGAGGAGGATGAATATCGGTTAAAGTATACATATTGCAAATTTAATTGGGGGGGGGGGGGGGGTATGGACGTGTTCAGGGGCGCAACCCCCCTCAATTGCTAAGAGAAGCTTGAAATCTACCCCAATGTCAAATGCTTCAAGCTAAACTTAACATATTTCTTACTGACCAAGTTACCCTTGTAAAATCTAACCTCTGCCCACAACGAATATATTTCCTAATTACCAAGTTACCCTTATAAAATAACCTCTACCCACAATGAACCTATTACCTATTGACCGAACTACCCTTGTAAACCTAACCTCTGCCCACAATTAACCTATTTCCTATTGACCAAGTTACCCTTATAAAACCTAACCTCTGCCCACAACTAACCTATTTCCCATTGACCAGGTTACCCTTGTAAAACCTAACCTCTGCCCACAATTAACCTATTGACCAAGTTACCATTATAAAACCTAACCTCAACCTAACCTCTGCCCACAACTAACCTATTTCCTACTGACAAAGTTACCCTTGTAAAACCTAACCTCTCCCCACTATTGACCTATTTCCTATTGACCAAGTTACCCTTATAAAACCTAACCTTTGCCCACAATTAACCTATTGACCAAGATACCCTTATAAAACCTAACCTCTGCCCGCAATTAACAAATTTTCTATTGACCTAGTTACCCTTGTAAAACCTAACCCTGCACACAATTAACCTATTGACCATGTTACCCTTATAAAACCTAACCTCTGCCAACAACTAACCTATTTTCTATTGACCAAGTTACCCTTGTAAAACCTAACCTCTGCCCACTATTGACCTATTTCCTACTGACCAAGTTACCTTTAAGAAACCTAACCTCTGCCCACAACTAACCTACTGACCAAGTTACCCTTATAAAACCTAACCTCTGCCCACAACTAACCTACTGACCAAGTTACCCTTATAAAACCTAACCTCTGCCCACAACTAACCTACTGACCAAGTTACCCTTATAAAACTTAACCTCTGCCCACAACTAACCTACTGACCAAGTTACCCTTATAAAACTTAACCTCTGCCCACTACTAACCTACTGACCAAGTTACCCTTATAAAATCTAACCTTTGCCCACAACTAACCTATTTCCTATTGGCCAAGTTACCCTTGTAAAACCTAACCTCTGCCCACAATTAACCTATTTCCTACTGACCAAGTTACCCTTGTAAAACCTAACATCTGCCCACAATTAACCTTTTGACCAAGTTACCCTTGTAAAACCTAACCTCTGCCCACAACTAACCTACTGACCAAGTTACCCTTATAAAACCTAATTTGTGCCCACAATTAACCTATTGACCAAGTTACCCTTGTAAAACCTAACCTCTGCCCACAACTAACCTATTGACCAAGTTACCCTTATAAAACCTAATTTTTGCCCACAATTAACCTATTTTCGTTTGACCAAGTTACCCCTTTAAAACCTAACCTCTGCCCACAAAAGCTTGTCAGTCAATCTACACGTCCACGCCACACACCGTGAAACTGTCAAGCCACAAGCGAGACAACTCTCCAATCATTTTCTCCCCTTAGTCTCCAGGGTCCATCCAACGCAAGTAAAAAAAAAAAGGGAAATAAAAAAATCCCCCACATTGCGTCATTGTTACACATTCACGCGGCTGACAGTGACGTCAGCAACAGGAAGCTGGACAAGACAATCCATTATCTGCATTATGTATTGTATGTTTGATTAAAGAATAGATATTATCTCTAGCGGAGCGGCTATCCAACTGTTAAGTTTGAAAAGAGAGGGGGAAATCGATTTACGGGATTAATGCTGTGTATGGGGGACATTGTGCTGTGTAGGGTGAAAGATACACACTGTCAAATAAGTGTCGTTCTGTTGTACAATGTTTAAATGTTGCATTAAAATAAATGTAAATTTGTGTTGCCGTGTAAGGTAGCGTAGGATGAAAGATACACACTGTCAAATAAGTGTCGTTCTATTGTACAATGTTATGTGTTGTATTAAATAAATGTGTGCTCATCATTATTAATGGTGTGTTGGGGGACATTGTGTTTGGTTTGGCGTGAAAGATACACACTGTCAAATAAGTGTCGTTCTGTTGTACAATGTTTATATGTTGTAGTAAAATAAATGTGTACTTAGCATTATTAATAGGGTGTTGAGGGGACATTCTGTTGTTTAGGATGAAAGATACATACTGTCAAATAAGTGTCGTTCTGTTGTACATTGTTTATATGTTGTAGTAAAATAAATGTATACTGAGCATTATTATTGGTGTGTTGGGGAAAATTGTGTTGTTTTGGGATGTAGGGTAGGATGAAGGATATACGTGTCATACACAAGTCTTTATGTTGTACAATGTTTATATGTTGTATTAAAATAAATGTATACTTAACTTTTTCAATAGTGTGTTGGGGGAACATTGAAATATTGTCGTAAGATGAAAGGCACGCAATGTCAAACTAGAGGCGTAGCGACCCTACCCGGCGCTCGGGTACAAACTTTTCGATTTGCACCCCCCTCTCAAGATTTCGATTTGCACCCCCCCCCCCCTCAAGATTTCAATTTGCATCCCCCCCATCTTACTTTCGATTTGCACCACACTCAACCCTTCGATTTATTTTTCCCACCCATTTTTGGCGCCCCCTAAGGTCGGCGCCCCCCTCGCCACCCCCCCCCTTCTCGCCACGCTACTGCTGTTAAACACGATTCATTCTATTGTACAATGTTTAAATATTGTATTAAAATAAATGTGTGCTCAGCATTGTTTTTTAAATATATCGCTGGAAAGTTGTTGATCATTAACACCACGCATTGCTTAAACACCTCTTTACCTTCGTCTATCAAGTGTTTTAAAAAAAAGCTCGACCCCCCCCCCCCCCCCCCCACCTCCTGAAGCTGAAAAAAACTACTATAGAAATATAAGCACGATTTTTTAATGAGTTTGAAGCGACACAAAACTTACTTTACTTTAGTTGATATCCATCCCCCACCCCCACACGATTCATTGCACTTTCTGACTAGTCTGGTACGTCCCCCCCCCCTCCACCCACCCTTCTAAGCGTGAGGTAAATTATGAAAGACCTTTGAGAACGTACATAAGTAGATTTGTGTAGATATGTAGAAGGTTCCGGTGAATACTGTCGGTTTGACAAGGAAGTCCGTCAAGGTCCATTGACCAAGTATGAGTTGGCCTTGGGTCATTGGCCAAGCGTGAGTTGGCCTTGGATCATTGGCCAAGTGTGAGTTAGCCTTGGATCATTGGCCAAGTGTGAGTTGGCCTTGGATCATTGGCCAATTGTGAGTTGGCCTTGGATCATTGGCCAAGTGTGAGTTGGCCTTGGATCATTGGCCAAGTGTGAGTTGGCCTTGGATCATTGGCCAAGGATGAGTTGGCCTCGGATCATTGGCCAAGCGTGAGTTGGCCTTGGATCATTGGCCAAGTGTGAGTTGGCCTTGGATCATTGGCCAAGTGTGAGTTGGCCTTGGATCATTGGCCAAGTGTGAGTTGGCCTTGGATCATTGGCCAAGGATGAGTTGGCCTTGGATCATTGACCATGTATGAGTTGGCCTTGGATCATTGACCACGTATGAGTTGGCCTTGGATCATTGGACAAGGATGAGATGGCCAAGGTCCATTGCCAATGGTGAGTTGGCCAAGATCCATTGACCAAGGATGAGTTGGCCAAGATCCATTGACCAAAGATGAGTTGGCCAATGTCCATTGATCAAGGAAGAGTTGGCCAAGGTCCATTGATCAAAGATGAGTTTGCTAAGATCCATTGATAAAGGGTGAGTTGGCCAATGTCCACTGACCAAGTGTTAGATGGCCAAGGTCAATTGACCAAGGGTGAGTTGGCCAAGATCCATTGACCAAGGGTGAGTTGGCCAAGGTCGATTTACCAAGGGTGAGTTGGCCAAGATCGATTAACCAAGGGTGAGTTTGCCATGGTCCAATGTCAAAGGGTGAGTTCGACAAGGACACCCCCCCCCCTCCGAAAGAAGAGTAAGTTATGTAGAGTATAAACACTGGATATGCACATCTGATAAAAAATGGTAATAGGTGTGCATGACACGCCAATATTCCACATTGTTCAACTTGTATGGACATTAATGTGTATGGGTATGTGTAAAACATTTTTTTTTATTTTACTCTTCTAATTGCCTAATAGTATATTTCATTGTTTATAGATACCTCCAAAATAAAAATAAATAAATAAAAAAATGTAAACCCCTGTGAGAATCAATACATTTTGTATACACATTTATTTTTTTAAAAACCTACAATGTACTCAGTTTGTCAGTGTCGTGGTATCTTTTTACAGTTCGTTTACCAGTTAAAGGGATATGAATGACCGCGTTCTCTTCTGTTTATAAACACAATCGATAGGTTGTCATCAGTCTTCAGTAACAAAAGTTTAAATTATGAAAGTAGAAGTGTTTCGTGGGCCGCTGGTTTTATCGTGTTGTGTTTTTTTATTTGACGCAGTGAACTGTGTCAATTGTTATCTGAGTGCGTGCGGCATGGTCAGGCGGAAGATTGTGGTTGCTAACTCTAGTAGTCGCCGGTTCGGATCCCTAGTGAATAGCAGCTTACCTTGCTAACTGAGCGATCGCTAAATTTTCTTTAACTCCTTTTTG